GGTCCCCCGTAACGAATCAGACTACCCCCCCCCCCAAAAAAAAAAATAATAATAATTATATTCAAATTATATTAAAAAATAATTAATATCCCTTGAATTGAGGGTAGGATATTGTCCTAGAAGAAAAAACTACCATCCCCTCATTCATGTGAAGGGTTGCCTCCTCAAAAGTGCATGGTAAATTTACATATAAAAATAACTTTGATGAATCGAGGTATTTTTGTCTGTCTAGCATTAAGGTTTAAACTATCTAATAATTATGCATGTGCTTAGTTTTATTATATTGTCGTATAATTAAAGTTTAAACTGTGATTTTACCTGTTCTGTTCGTTATGACAGATGATTTTGCCCTAAAATATCCAGGTTTGACCCAATAAAGGACCTCTCTGAGAATATAATTATAACATATCCAGATTGTGTGACTCAAAAGAAGGACCTCTCTGAGAATATAACTATAATATATCCAGACTGTTTAACCCCAAAAGAACCTCTCTGAGAATATAATTATAATATATCCATATTATTCTACCCAAAAAAGAACCTCTCTGAGAATATAGCTATAAAATATCGATATTATTCTACCCAAAAAGAACCTCTCTGAGAATATAGCTATAAAATATTCAGACTGTTTAACCCAAAAATAGACCTGCCATAAAATAGTTTGGTATTAAAATGTTTAGTAATAATGCTTTGTTTTAGACGTGTTCTTAACGTTTATTTGGTAATGTTTCGGTAATTGTACTTACCTTTAAATAGAGAATCAGTTGTCCTTCATTTTGGTTTTGTTGTTGCCTGTAAACAACGGAGAAGACCACTTGGCCATAGTTTGCCTCCATATCTTCATTGGGGATGGGAATGTCCAAGGAAAGTTCACTCTGTGAGGTAGAAGACAACTATTATTTGTTGATTCATGAAGTTCGCGTCCGAACAGTTTCCTTCTGAAGTTCCAGTACGATTATACACATGTAAGCAAATGTACGTGTGTTGAAACCTTTCTAAATCTAATACTTCTTTGGCAGACTGTTAGGAAGTGCACTCCAAAACTACCTGTTGCTTATACCAAATCATGAACTTTTACGGTAAAGTTCGTGTTTATAATTTTAATGCTTGTGCTAATATTTGAAATACCTTGTTTAACGAATGTTCATAGGTTTACGTTTAGTATGGCTTGTTATTTGTCCCTAAATATTTATAAACAAAGCTACGATCTTTTTTCAATGAGACCGTAACTTCTGAACACCGAACACTTAGACAACAGCCAAAAGAAGGTCTCAGCAGAAAGAACGAAACATTTCAACAACGATAGCTGACTGTTACAATCATTTTTTAGAACCACACTGGTAGAAGTATAATGTATAGTAATTACCGCATTCAGATCTCTTCCTAATCATATTTGCACACATTTTCTTTTGTTTTTTAATCGCCCTCGAAACCCAGGAGAGATGTCGCTATAATTCACGAAGCATATTGTGTCTGTAGTGAGAAGTAATAGTTGACCCCCCCCCCTCCGCCTTCCTTAATGGATACAATATATCATTCAATATCCACAGATCGACAGACAGCGCTTTCTTTGCGGACATTCATCCAAACCTACACGAGGGCTATCTATACAGGTGTCCCTAATTTAGAACAGATAGACTAGAGGCATAGTAGCTAATCAGTAACACTCATTAGCAGCTATTGTGGTTCTCTAATTAGGAATTTGGTCGCCACTTTTGATGCACTCACAGCCTCAAAGTGCGGAGCGTGATTTTGTGATAACAGGACATGAACTGTGGACTCTTAGATTCATAGTCCGGTACGCTAACGACTAGGTTACATCGGGTCTTGTACACAAGTAGAATCTTTTAAATAAAAATCAACTAGTATATTTCATTATATAATCACATATGACTCACATTTTTTTCAGCTAACACATAAATATTATCTATCTATTTATCAAACCTACATAGAGAGATATTGTTCCGTCGCCACGACTGCTAGCAGACATACTGCTATAGGTCGAGTCTTCTGTGTATTTTTTACGCCCTGCAATAGATTCTGAAGTAACACGAGAAGATCGGTTTGATTGAAGTCCGTAGTGGGGCGCCACCGTTCGTTTAATGGGCGTTGCCTCCTCCTGTAATTCAACATCACGGCATTTCTTGTCTAAAAAGTAAATGAATCGTATAAATAACGATAACTTAGAGTGATAATTAGTTCCAATGCTTAATTGATAGAAAAAAGGGTGCTAACTCCTCATTGACTGGTGGAAAAGAAATTTGATTTTTGAAATATAATAATTTAAACGTTACTGAAACTACTACTTAGAAGTGGGGGAAGGGAGATAATGCAGCTGACTAGGTCAGTCAAATATCAGTTCACAGTGTAACCGAGACAGTATTAAAATTAATTACAATTATTTTGTATTTAGGCTTAAAGAACATCCAAAACAGTTTCTGGATCTCACATTCGGAGAAATCTGGCTGAAATGAAGCACTGTTCAGTTCCCTGTTATGAATGCAAGCTGTCAGTTCGTTGAAACTAACAAAATTAATAAACAAAAATAAACTGCTTCTCACCAACTACAGATCCACTTTTTGTCAACTTTGACATTTAGAGCAAAATATCCCTGCAAGGATTGCTTACCTTTTGCTTTGTTCCGGTGTATGACAGTGTGCAGCCAACAAACAGGAGTTACTACGCACACTGTGAGCAAGATAGTTAGGGTTAGGAATCCCATAACGACGGCGATAGTCAACAGTTTCTCATCGTTTGATAGCTTTAAAACACCTTCTTCCCCAGTATAGAAATAAACATTAAACACTTAATGGCATTAAACACATGCATATTCTATTTTTATTTAATCATGATTTCTCAAGTAAATATTCAAATTTATAATGTTATTTAAGATAGATGAATTTACTCATTAATTAAATAATAAATGTATAAATCAAACATTATAATGAATATTGCATTCATTAATACTACGTCTTCTTCTCAATTCACATGTTTTTAAAAATAAGTCTTACAATATTATTGAAAAAATAGTTTCTTACAGGTTTTTGACCAAAGACACTTATTAACACCTTTATAATTTTAAGTTGAGTTGTTTAAAACAAAAACAACAACACATGTATTCACTTGAAAAGAAATGCCTAAATTTTAATTGTTTTAATAACGTTTTACATGAAACATGATGTTCACTTTCAACATATTTCAAAATTTTGGTCACTTGTAGACATTTAATTCCTATACGCGAACACAAAATTTGTGCTCGTTTCTAAACATGACTTAACTAACACATTATGAAGAATTCGTGGACATAATCTAAATATCAAAAGCAAATTTACAAGCTTTAGAAATTAATGTGTAAACTTGCTTAATCAACTCTCTAAATCTCAGAAAATCATAGAGTTCGCTTTTGATATTAAGACGTTTCAAGTAAAACGTTTCGAAACGTGAAACTTCGAATAGAATATTAATCAAATAACTCAAACATTCGATGGAAAGTTTCTGTCATATTAAAAACAAACAGTATTTTTAAGATATGTGATGTGATATTGTTTAAAAGTTTAAGTAGTTTTTGTTCTATCCATCCACATACCAATGAATCAATTATCTAACAAAAATGTTACCCAATATGAACGTGCTGGTAAATATATTGAAGATTTATAAAAGTAAATGCATATTCATAAAAAAAATGTAAAAAAAAAAGTTGAAGGTGAAAGATTGTTGACAATTCCATTAAAATCGTTTATTTACCTCTGTCCATGTTCGGCACCGTGGACCTATCCTCTCGAAATCAATATCTGAAAACATTCAGTTATCATAAAATTGTAAGACTGATTTCTCATTAGTTTGTACTGATAAAACAATATTCATTATGCCAAAAGAAAAATGAAATATAAGGGAGAAAAACATTCGAAGACTTTTAGCTAACTGATATTTTCTGTCGCATACTTTTCGTACGTGAAAGGTTTTGGTATTTTACATTGATTTTATTACGTCAGAAAATCAGTGCATAAAGAAACAGAACGTTCACACTTGAGAAAGTGCATACTGTTACATTTTATTACACTCTACAGTTGTAACTTTGTAATATTTCTTTCACTGATATTCGTAATTAACACTGCACCACCGTCTTAATCCTCATAATGAAAAGCAAAGATACTACTAAAGCTACGCGTCACTGACTGAGTCGTTGAATGACTCACTCACTGAGTCACTGAATGACTCACTCAAAGTGAACATGAGTTAGAAATTTTTCCTACTTCGTTTATAAAAGAGTCACTTGCACAGAGAAGGTTTCTGCACAGCAGCTGGTTTTTGTAAATTATTGTCTTATTGTGTATATGTTAAACGCTCATTTTCTATTATAAGCAAAAAAGTACATGTTCTACGTTCGCTGAGTTACTTTACAAAGTAGTTTAAAAAATGAAGGAAGTGATGCTTTAAAAAAAATAAGTAAAACTAGAATTTACTTTGATATAAACGCACGTCTCGAAACTGCAATAATTGCATAACACATGCAATATTTTACAACATGAAATTTAGGATATGGTTCAAGGTTATTTGTTCAATGTCGCTTTCTCAACATCAGCATGAGAACATTTAGAAGTATGCGTGTTCAAAAACAGCTGAACTTATCTATACAATAACATTTCAATACTAATACAAGGCTGCGTATATGTTATCGATATATCTTTTGCAGTTTCATCACGCGCCTCTACCTCAACTAGACAATAAGAATGCGTCCCCCTGTGGATCAGCGACAGGTTAGGAGTCTTATAACGCTAACAATTGGGGATTGATACCAGCGGTGTGAAGAGTACAGGTAACTCATTCTGTATCTTTCTGTTTAATAACACGAAACAGACAGCAAGACTGCCAAATAAAGAAGAGTTTGAGATGGAGGCGGAGTACAGCATAACTAGGTTTGGAGTCTTTTGAATGCTTAGAATCATCACCAATTTAAGCTGGATAGAGATAAGTAAGATTTCAATGTCTAGAAAAAAAAATGTGTATTTTCATAACATTTCCAAATTATAGATTTTGATTTTTAAAATTTGAATTTTTACAAGAAGAATGTAAAAAAAATGTCCATGAACACAAGCTGTGTCTGACAGTTTGCATGCGTTATGAATACAGGTGTTATTCATAATACTTGTGTTGCTTACAGCTGTCAGCCTTACTTGCAGTGCAACAGGTACATACATTTGTATCACATAGAGGTACGAAACGGGCCCATACGCACAGGTTATCATAATGTGACCCCGCTGATTCGATGAACGAGCCTAGAAAAAAATGTTGAGATAAAGTAAACGTGTTCGAATAAGTCTTTGTGTTATCAGAAATTCACACAAACGTTCGTGCAATATAACCCACTCTACCTTTAAGATGTTTGCATTTTTCATACCCATTACTTACGATAAGTTACTCGCACACTCTTTCACATAAACATTTCTAGCAAACCCTAGGAGTTAAAGATCATTAAAGAAAAATTTGAAAAACTGCTGAATTTCTGGAATAATTTCATAAGTAAACAACATGCCCCCTGGTAGCTCAGTGGTAATTCTGGGGCTCATAACGCTAAAAATCGTGGTTTTATACCGACGATGGGCAGAGCACAGATAGGCCATTGTGTAGCTTTGAGCCTAGCAACAGACAAACAAGTAGGCAACATCAATGGAACCGAAAAACTTTGTTGAAGCCATTTAGTATTAGCAACTCAGTTTCCCTGAGATCAAATAAATATTTTATTTGTTTTATAAAATAAGTTTTGGGATTTAAATCCATTGCAAATCACTTTCAAAACCTGAGATTGTACACAATATAACTTGAAACTTTAATAACACGTATGTTATTTCCCCAGAAGGAGGCCGAAGGCCGCCTGGAGGGGTCAGCTGTTTTAATCAATCGCATCACTATACAGTAGTGTGCTGTCTGTCAGTCAGTCAGTAGACACTCAAATGACGTCACATAAGGGTCGCATAACGTTGCAATTTGTACTGCCGTGACGTCATTAAAACGTGCGAATACCATGAATCACGAGAAAAATTATGCACTCTGTAGGCTACAACACAGCGTAACTTATGAACTTCAAAAGCAAGAAATAAAAATATTTGCTACTCTTAATTTTGGTTTTATTTACTCTTAAGACAGAACACTTTCGGGGACCCTGCAGAAGTGCATCTAGTTTAAAGGATTTGGGAACATTTACGCAATAACTGTCGTAAATAATTCATAATTTAATATTTTATAATTTACGTATACGATTAGTTAAAGGTAATACTGATTTCCGTAGTCATACAAGACATTTCAATAAGTGTACGTCACTTTTACAGCGAAAATCTAAAACGTTACAAAGACATGAAATATTGTTATTGGTTCATTTTCTGGCATATAAAAGTATCGTTACCACTTAAAACATATATTTCACTTTCAGTAGCATATTTATGATTGCGTTCATTCCTCTGTTAGTTAGTCTACACATGTAGTAGTTGTTAGCAAGATACTTTATGTGAATCTTACAAGAAAATATTCCTTAGATGTTTGTCATAGTCTTAAAAATCCAAATAACTGATTCATTTTATACTCTTCTAATGACAGGTCATTACAAAAGAAATGTATATTTAGTTGCTTTAGATGGCGCTATCATATATAATATCTTTGTTCCTTGTTAAGCACAAAGCTACACAATGGGCTATCTGTGCTGTACCCACCACGAAACCTGTTTTTTTAGCGTAATGAGCCTTCAGACTTACCCCTGAGTAATTGTGGGAGGGGCATATTATATCTAAATAACTTAACCTAAGACTAGATTACTTTATAACTTTATCTATACTCTACCATAAATCATTTATATGATTATCATTACATGATAAACGTTATTAATCTATCTTACCTATCCGAATGTCTAAATGTCCAAAAACCAAAGACGAAGTCAGGCGGCGCTTTAAACGATGGTAGTATGTTCCTCGTATCCCGCATTTATATAAAATAATCGTTGGTTAAAGCAGAACGTTGTTATGGTTATTGTGATATGACAGATGATTGGCGAATAAAAGCAAATAATATATATATATATATTCTTCCACTGATAATACAATCATGAAGATATTACACCTGCTTGAGGAAGAAAAAAATAGTCACAGCATGTGTACTTTCTCATGTCCTTTCACATCAGTATCGTTTCGGTTTGATATTCTTTGTTA